GTGCATAGTGTATACTGCATAGTGCATAGTGTATAGTGCATAGTGCATAGCGCATAGTGCACAGTGCACAGTGCATAGTGCATAGTGCATAGTGCATGGTGCATAGTGCATACTGCATAGTGTATAGTGCATAGTGCATAGTGCATAGCGCATAGTGCACAGTGCATAGTGCATAGTGCATAGTGCATAGTGCATTGTGCATAGTGCATACTGCATAGTGCATAGTGCATAGTGCATCGTGCATCGTGCATAGTGCATACACTGTAATGCATAGTGCATAATGCATAATTTCTAGTGCATAGTGCATACACTGTAGTGCATAGTGCATAGTGCATAGTGCATAGTGCATAGTTCATAGCGCATAGTGCATAGTGNAATAGGTGCCAGCGATTGGCGCTGTAAGAAAAACAACGTGCGTGGTAGATTGAAATCGATTGAACTGTACAACGACTACTTAACGAAGCGTTAATTAGGGAATCTCTCGTTATTTTGCCCACCGTTCATTTTTTCGTACGATATGAACACCGGTACAAGCGTTTGTCGCTCGCCGCGAACACTTACTGGCGAAAAAAAAAATGTACATATCCGGTGTGCATTTCGTACGAAAAAATGCACGGTGGGTAAACGAAAATGAGAATGCCTGCGACATGGCGAGGACGGGTGCACACGCTCCACCGTGACCAGAAGGTCATCGAAGGTCACCTTCTGAAGGGCAGCACCGCCTCTCTAACATTCACGTCTGTTGACCGACCGTTCCGCAGGGGAGGGTCATGCAATGCCGACTCTAAAATAGGTTACGCAACCAAGCATCGCGGGGAAAAAAATGCAAAATAATGGCTGCATGTATGCATCGAGTTAACGGGCTGACGATGACGCTAAATACAGGCGTTTGTCGCTCGCCGCGAACACTTACTGGCGAAAATAAAAAATGAACGCGAATCGTCGTAAATGCTCTACCTAAGCACTATTAGCGTCGCGCGTCACGGACGACGGGAGAGATACGACGAATGTTAAATAAGTTAGTTAAATTAGAATTCGCTACGACGACGAAACTATCGACACGTGAGCGACACAAGATCCGATATGAGTCTACAGAGATGGGACCTTTCACATGTGATACGCAATGGGTGAGCATACCTAATCGGATAAGTAACCAAGTCGGAGCGATAGTTCGACGACGGCGTATATATCGTGACCGATACGCGGTCGCGTTGATGACGTCACGTGTTTGGTGTATAGGTGTACGTGCCAAGTATTATTTTTTTGTTATTATATTTTGTAGTGTTTCTAGCATGGTTGTATTTTGAGCGAGTTACAGATACACAGCCTATCTAGATGCGTTAGACATCAGCCACAATGCCAAATGTTTTGCTAACTGACTGTATACCACATGGTTATTTGAATAAATTTTTATGAAACATAAAACCATCGATTTTTCAGAAACCTATATGATACCCTAATCTTTGAAAGATTGCCAATAAGGTGTCCATTTAATTTGACTTTTATCTGCATTTGAAGTAGAAATAAAATATTCTTTAAAAATCGGGCAGAGTCAAATGAAATTATGCCGTAAATTACTCGTTTTACAAAATGTTTTGCATTGCAAATGAAATTTCCATTTCATTATGCGGGTTATTCAAGGTTTTACCGTCAGATACTCAAACATTAATAACCGCTTGGGAATATGTCATGAACAGATTTATTTCCAGTAGTACATCGAAAACCAATCGAATGCTTCCACGACCATGCCCATGTATGAAAACTAAACACTAAAGCTGTTATGGTGTAGAACCTATCGTAAATAATTTGTCTTTGTTGAATTGGATGCTACAGAGTTGACTAGTGCATCCAGTATCGTGTTGGCTATTAAAACCTACGTGTTAAATCTGAGGACGTGTACGAAGATCGAGAACATAACATGTAGAATATTACATCATACGGGGATACCGCGACATCATACCTATATTAACGTGTACGATATATTTCATGGTAGTCGCCATGTTGTCTATTACATTATGCTCTGTATTAACGTGATGTATGTATTGAACACGTAATGTCTACGTATATATTCAGTTATTACGTATAATGATAGCGCATACAAGATGCTTCATGCACAAACCTCACTGTTATCTCGTATATTGTGAAGGCTGCTTACTTACCGTCGTATTGTTCCCATACGCCCATTTGCCTCCTCTCCTCCTCCTCATCCTCTTC